CTTGCATTTTCATTTGACACAACATAACCCTTTTAACCAAACTTCTCTATCTAATACATAAGAATTTTTCACCTAATTATCCTTAAATGGGACATACATCACAAGACTTTTTTCTTTTTTTCTCCCACTTATTTTATTTATTATTTTTTCTAAGAATTTTAAAGAAAGTCTTATCACAAAAATAAATTTTTGTTTAATAAGCAATTTTAGAAGACCTGTACACTTGGAATCATGGATACACTGAAGACACCTGAGATTAACAGTAATGATTAACATGTGTGCAAACCTTTGTTTTTAAATTTAGTTGAAAACCAAAATCATTTTTAGGAGAAACTCAATTATAATTTTTCTGAAAGATTTTTATCTTTGAACCAAATGACCAATTTATTGAGGGTGTCTCCTAAGAGACTATTGAGACTATTGGGAGCTCCTCATTAATGAACAAAAAGTTTAGCCACACCTTCTATTCATCAATGGAACTTCTCTCTGAATCAAACTTCCCCGAAGTTTTAATTAATTTAAACTTTTTGATAAACTGTGTATAAACCATATTTGATATGACTTAGACCAGTTGGTAACTTAAGAAAAAGTATTCTCTTAAGTCTATACCCTTAATTGTAGTATGAATGACCAAAGAAGAAAAAAAAGGGAGGGGGAGAAACAACTGTTCACAGAACGATGCATACATAAATATACAGTACACATAAACAACTATCTTTATAAAATTATGAGTGCACTCAACTATATATTCCTGGGCAGATTAACCTATTGTAACTTTATTGCAATTTTTTTAAAAGAAATTTTAAATCATAAATAGACTAGTCAGATTTTGTTATTTGTCAATAAGCAGAGGTCTCTTTCAGAAAGTTTTGGAAGGAATAAAAATCTTTTATCTCTAGCTAATATGTACATTTTGTATTTTTTGTCTTAATACTAGTAGAATTTAGCTCAGTTATCTTTATATATTTCTCCATCTATTTATACCTTAGATTTACATTTTGTCAGTTCCTTCAATAGGCCCCAGGTTGGATCTGGCCTCCTTGTTGTTATCTTCTTCTACAGATCTGGCTTCATTATACAGCCTGACAGCACGCTCTGGTACTCAAATAGGTCATTTAGCATTCTCTAGAAAAACACAAGCATACCCTCTCCCCCAGGTTAGTAGTGGACTAGGTCCCTTCCATTGTCCAGTATGGAGATCTCTCCAAAGGACTCTTTCTAGCCTTTTTGTATGTATTTGATGGAATTGTCTTTCTGCTGCTGTATTTACTTCTTTTGTAGAACTTGAAAAGTTGATAGTGTTTTATACATGAAGAACATAATTTACCAATTTCCTGGGTCTATCCTCAAGTGAAATGAGATTGTGAAAGGCAGAAGCATTTTGGTGGAAAGTGACATGACACAGAAGCTTGTTGAATAGCACTGAGGGCGTCATAGCTTTATGTGAAGTATGTGGCTTGTGTAGCCATTGTAAGCAACCTTGAGACTGCCAAAGAACTCCAGTAGGCATACACTGAGTTGGAAAAATAACTAAAAACATTGGCAAAGATGGGTCAACTCTAGAGAGCTGAGCATTAGAAAGAGCCTGATTAACTTTATCTAAGGCAGTCTTAGCCTCTGGTGTAAGTGTTCTTCTTAGAATCAGGGACTGAGTCTCCCTTGAGAATTTCAAAAAGATGACTTAACTCATGAATAGTTAGCTTAAGAACTGGGTAGAGCCAATTAATGTTACCAAGTATAGTCTGAAAATCATTTAGAGTTGTAAGATGTCTAACCTGGATCTCAACAGTTTGGGACACAATTTGTCTCTGTTGAATCAGGTGTCCCAAATGTGAAAAGGGTGCCACAGTTTGCACCTTTTTAGGAGCTATCACTAGACCTGCATTGTGGAGAACAACATCTAGTCAGTAAACATGCGATGTAAAGTGGACAGGGATTTATGTGCCAATAGAATGTCATCTATGTAAAAGATAATGTATGCAGAAGGATAGACCTGTCTCACTGACCAAATGGCTGTAACCACAAATTCTTGGCACAGGATTAGACTACTTACCATACCTTGTGATAGACAACACCATTGAAAACAGTGCATAGGGGCCTGATTATTTATGCAG